ATGATTTGAAGGTGTTGAAATTCAATTCTGATCTGAGAAATGCACCAGAGGGACTGCAAAAAACTGTAAATGGGTAAAGTCAGAGAAGATTAGCTTTGACTGGTTTCCATCTTAACCTTTGTGACCTCCAGCCTGATCCCTCATGTCACACGCCATCTAAATCTCTAATCTTGGTTTTCACACTGAACAAAAAGGCTACCGCTTCTGTCTCTCTCTTCCACAACTCACTCTTATCCTAACTTGGGGGACTGATGATAAAGGAGACAGAGGGAGTGGTAGGTGGAGTGAAGCGAGAAATGGAGAGGGAAGGTGATTTTTTTGGGAGGGTTGAGTCCGCTGTGTGAGCGATAAAGCGCCACAGGCTGCCTTAATGAAAAGCCTCTCACAGCGATGGGGAGATTGCCTGTGGAATGGGCTACTGATTGGAGGACCAGCAGCTTGGTGTAGCATGGAGACTAATTCAAGTATTGAAGGAGTTCGGATGACGGGGGGAGATTAGTGCTATACCATAGTGATATCTGAGCCAAAGACAGCTGGACAAATATACCTTACATTTCAAACAACTGGGAAAGTTGGGTCAAAGTGGCAATACCTCACTGTCAACTAGTTCAAGAGTGACGGCATGTTAGGCTCGTGTACATGGTTGTTGTCCTTAGCTGCTCCCAACAGGATAAGCGAAACCAGTAAGAGGCATAGTTACATCTGTTTTCAGAAACATTGCCCCATTGATCTTGATAGTAAACAGATCTGTTGGGTGTTTTTCATGAGCAGACAGCAGTCCCAGTGAAAACTGTCCACAATGAGGTCTGTGGCTTATCTCAATACACTCTGAAATTGTGTTTGGAAGTAAAGGCTGCTGTTGATGTCTAAATGTGATTTAAACTGTAAAAAAGCTGAAGGCAGAAGCCTCACATCTCATAACTAAATAAAATACAATTGCCTGCATGGTAGGATAACACTTGAAGAAAACTGTTATATCATAATGTTTTTGCTCATATGGGTTAAATTGTGATCATCATGGAATATAAAAACCTGTTTCCAATGTCATTGTGTAACTGTAAACATGAATAAATGCTGATCTTTACTTGATGCCATGCTTACCATGTTCACCACATGAGTTTAGTTAGCATGTTAAAATAGGTTACTAACACTAAACAAAAAGTGCAAGCGGGGCTGCTGGGAATGTTCTGAAGGTTTTTCGGCACTGAATAAATAGAATACTGTACACATTTAAATTTAATGGGGCTGGATAAAAAGTTAAAATGTAAAAAAAGGCAAGAAAACTTTAAAGGGACATAAATGGATGCCACAAATATGATGGTGAAGACACTGAGCTCAAAACGTGAGGAAATGATTTGTTCTCCAACCGGTTGGGGAGTGGTTGCTGGCTATCTCTAGACAAAATTTGAATTCAAAAATAAAAGTTGTACATTTTGAAACATGTTTGCTGCAGATTAATAATACATCTTTTGCTTCTGTGTTCTCTGTTTCACTACAAGTCGGTGAGCAGCTGGGAAGCGTCTACAGACAAATCAGCATTTTCCATGCAAATGATGCGTGACTGTAGTAATGTGCTAATGAGCCAAAGAATTACAATGAGGTTTTTAGTGTAGCACTGTATACTTCTTTACGACCAATTTCACCCAGCGACTTCCAGTAATCACTCACCAACCAGTCAGGGAATACACATTTTTCACAGGTGACCAGTGGTTGCTAGGGGTCACCGATTGGTAAGACAGTAACTATTTCAATCTGGTGTCAGATTTCTGAACACAAGCATGAATAAAGAAACAGATGTATTACTCTTCTTAGACTCATCCCTGCCGTTGATTTAAACTCTTTTCCCCAGATCTGCTCTATACCTAGATGCTGGAATCATCTGGAGCCACAGCGGGAAAAGTACATACTGAATTGGATATAATAGGTGAACTGGCATCTCATGTCATCATCACTGGTCTTTCTCAAGGTTAAAAAGAAAAAAAATACCTGAGTGACAGAGAAACAGGACAGGAAGGAAGACAAGAAGTGGATAGAAGCAAATATATAAGGGTAGGGAGAGATAGGCTGATTGGACACACGACAGTGTCAAAGGTCATTGAAAAGCTGTCAAACTGTCACTGCTGTAGCGTCTCACTTTTTAAATGTGTGTTTTATCTCATGTGGGTTAACTCTGAAGTCAGAAACTTTCAAAAGTTGGTGTGAAATATCTTAACACGTGTCACTTTCCATCAGTCTGTTGTCCTAATTTGGCATGAGCTCCTTCACAAATTATCATTTGTCATTGAGTTTCAGCTTTGCTTGTCACTGCATACCTAACACCATAATTTCCCACAGGATTAATAATGCAGCAGTCTGTCCATCAAGTGCTGAGAAAAAGCCAGAAAAGTAAACCACTTCCTGCTGGCATCTCGACACCAACGGCAGAAAATATCATGGGATGATATGGAAGGAAC